GCAGTTCGGTTCAAAGGTGCTTTGATAAAGGCGACTGCATTGGAGTGAACGGTTTTGGCAGTGACTCTACACACAGCCATCTCGTTCTGCATTACTTTTCGCACGTTGCTGACGTAAATGTAGACAATAGGTAAGGTTGCACAAACGGAGAAGACAGCTATGAACGAAATGACGATAGCAGCATAACCAACGATTCGATACGCCTAAATGCTAGTAAATGACGAGAGGTATCGAACGATGGCAACAGCTATTTTCTGAAAGTTTTTCTCACCTTGATTTTTGTGTCTTCCATGCCTACGTACCGTTAGCGAAGGCAAAACTGACGATTTGCCTATATACGGCAACGGGGATTGGTGTGAAATCCGGCCAAAGTTGCCGCCTCTTTTTCCACCTCTGCGTCTCGCTCTCTCTTGCCCCTTTTTGTAATTTTAAGCTGTGTGACCACATTCAGTGGAACTTCCCTTCCTAGTATGCATGGTTTCATTCTTCGAAGTTTTCGCCTCGTAGAAGGTGGAGTCGAGCGAAAACACCTGCATTTGTCATCTTAATTGATTATAATCAGTCTAGGTCGAGGCAGAGCCAGATGCGGAGGAAAGAGATACAGACAAGGGATTGGCAAAGTCACTAACACTATTCAATGGAGTGTCAATTATTGTAGGATGCATTATTGGATCGGGGATCTTTGTCTCACCCACTGGAGTGCAAGAACGTGAGTTACCCTTTTTCCACGATTACTATGTTCTTTCCAACAAATTGTTGCGAATTCTTGAGAAAAAATTGCATTTTGCTGAGTAAGAAAATGAAAAGCTACAATTTTTGCTGTGCGCACAGCTCTGTTTCAGTTTAACATAAATATGAAGTCTTATTCTTAAGATGAAAACTGACAATGCCCATGATTGGGGAAAATTCAATAAAAAGATTGCAACAGTTTAGCGTTTCTACGGGCGGTACTGCTTTTGAATATCTATTCCTAGCTCTGAATCTGTGTTATTGACTAGTAGAAAGTTGAGAACGAACAGGATCGGTGGTCGCAAAGCAATGTTTCAAAAAGAGAACTCAAGCAATGTATGATGGCACTGAATTGTCGAATAACCTGTGGCGAATTTCGTTCAGTTTCTAATTATCACAAAACGCTTTCAATGACCCCTGGAAGTCCACGAATATATTAGTGCAAGATTTTCACATATGCGAATACTCTTAGGAGAGTATTTACTACCAAAGTCGTTATCATTGTTCAATCAGGTAAAACGCTATTGTTTACGCATCCAAACTAACCTGCCATCTTTGAGTATCTCACGTTAATTTAAAATTGCACTTCTTGGCTTGAGTCGTCATAGACAGTATGGCATAGCAGCTCTGAAAGGATAAATCCAATGACGTTCGATTTGCTGTAGAGCACCAGAACACATGCGCTATAAAGCATCTTATGCTTTACTTTTAATGGTAGTTATTTATTGGTGAAAAGCAGTGTTCTGGAAAGCATTCATGGAAATATGCGGAGTATGTTGTGGAAACAGCGATTTGACATGACCTGAGAGTGACGTTATTAGAGAAATTATTGGTAATTTCAACAGCACGTATATTCCATTAGGGCTTATTATCTTCACTCTCAAAATATCCTTTTATGATGATGCTTGCTAAGAAGCTTAACTAAGCAAGTTATATGTAACCATGCACTTGATAACTGACACGCACACAACCAGACAGGGTTTTGACTAGCA